AAGCCATCTTCAAGGTAGAACGATACTTACACTCAACAAAAGGATCTGATAAAGGGCTGAAGCATCTTTGTTGAGTTTGAGTTTTGTGTCTATCATTTTATAGGTTTTTGCATTTTGAAACTTATCAAGTATACAAGCAAAGACCATTTTGGTGAAATATTCTCCAGCAAGCACAACAAGGACCTGATCGAGCTGCAAGCGTCAGAGTGTGTCTTAGGAGTTTTACTTCCGTGCTTATATTGTAAATCTGTTCCTAATCTATAAAGGATTCAGATTCTTGTGTTCGTTGTAAAAGTCTAAATCAGTTGAGGCTAACTGATTTAGTGGGCAGCATTGGTTGCTGCTTAGTCAAATTCTAAGTCATCGAGGAGCTAGTTGATTTAGTGGGCGGTGTGGTATCCGCTTAGCAAAGTCTAAGTTATCTAGGGGTGATAGCTTAGTGGGCAGTGTTGTATCTGCTCTGGCTCATCTAAGTAATAGGAAGTATTGCTTAGAGTTGGGATTAGTAGGCTAATCTCAGTTTGTAAACTTGCTTTTACTTTTGCTTGAGAAGATTAGTGAAAGCAGTTTTTTTGAATAGTCCTGGCAGGCCAGGTCGTGGTTTTACTCCCTTGAGCAAGGAGGTTTCCACGTAAAGTTGTTGTGCAATCTTTACTTTCAGCACGTTGTTTATTTTCTGTTATTTTAACTGTGCTGAGGACCTGGTCCCATCTAGACCAGTGGACGCATACATTTCAACAGGAAGTCACCGGTAAACTCAACTAGCAATACTGGGAAGTATTATTCCATGGCATATATTGGTGCCTAAGATAAGTGATCTGCATAATATATATAAGTACGTGAGTTCGAGTCATCGAGCGGAAAAAAAAAGTGGCAACTCCTAGGGATGAATAAAAAAAAGTACAAATGAAATGAAGAACTGCTAATAATAAGTAGAGCATGGAGTGGCCACCGCTAGCAGAGGTGATTTCCTTTGAATAGTGATGCCATTGTTTTCGGTCATATCCAAATCCTCTGGTTTTAACCCTTCAGGTAATGAAAAATTGAACTTGTGCTAAGCCTTGCTAATGCTAGCACATTTATCACAACAGCAAAAGCAGTTCCTGGGCAGCCCCTTCTGCCTGCTCCAAATGGAATCAACTCAAAGTTTAATCCTTCGAAATCAATATCACTATTTAAGAATCTCTCTGGTCGGTAGTCCTCTGGATTTTCCCATGATAAAGGATCTCTTCCGACTGTCCAAGCATTGATAATGACTTGGGCTTTAGCAGGTATTTGATAGCCAAGTAATTTTATGTCTTCCGTTGATTCTCGAGGAATTAGTAGAGGAGCGGGTGGATGAAGCCTAAGTGTCTCTTTGATTACTGCTTTAAGATAGTGCATATTTCCTAAGTCATCCTCTGTTATCTCTGCTTTCCCTTGTGCTAATACTCGCACTTCTTTCTGTAATGTTTCCATGGCTCTTGGATGTCTCAAAAGCTCTGCCATTATCCACTCTAGAGTTGTATATGTTGTATCCGTACCAGCAGCAAATATATCCTACGCATTAAAAAGAAACAAACTAAGATTGTTATGCTGGTGTATGTGTAAATGATTGTGTGGAAGAATAATCTATGTCGCTAAACTTTTAACTATGAAACAATATGTTTAGTACGAATTATGTTCAAAATTATACTAACAAAACACGCACGCCAAGGAGGGAATAAATAATGTGAGAGAAGCTGATGGTTTCCTTTCCATTCTGAATTTCCAGCAAAACATCCACGAAATCTTTAGCTTCGCCGGTACTGTATTCTTCTTTATTGTTCCTAATAATGTGTTCCTCGATCACACTCTCTAAAAATGTATCCAATTTTTTAGCTACTTTCTCCACTTTGGTGTCTAAACCAGTGATTTATTGACCCATTCCAGCCAAGGAATAAAATCCCCAACGTTAAAAGTACCCAAAAGTTGAACAAATTCTGCTAGGATGGCCTTTGCATCTATTCCACTTTCCCTTTTATTATATATCCTCCCTAAGGCCACTCTGCTAATTATGTTATCAGTCATAAAACAAAAATGATCTCTTAAATCTATCACTGAATTTGAAGAATTAGAATTACGCTCTTGTCTGATTTTTTCAATCATATTCGATGTTTCTTCTTCTCTAATATCACGGTAAGATCGGACTCTTTTGTTGCTGAGAAGGTGAAACATGACAATGCTTTTAATTTGTCTCCAGTATTCACCATAGGGACTAAAGCCCACGTCCTTAGAGCCGTAAAAGAGTCTATCAGCCATGCTAGATTTAGGTCTGCTTGAGCATACGAGATCATGAGTTTTCATGATGTCACGAGCAGCTTCGACAGAGGAAGCAACGAGCACAGGCTTACTGCCAAAGTGAAGTAGCATGAGTGGACCATATTTTTTGGATAGTTTATGGAGAGAACGGTGAGGAAGAGATCCAAGTTGATGGAGATTTCCTATGATTGGAAGCTTTGTTGGAGATGGTGGTGATAACTTATTTGAAGTAGAAAAGAGGCATTTATGAAGAAAGAAAAACAGAGGAATTAGAAGAGAATACCAGGTAAGATCCATTATTTTTTAGATAGGAATATTGATGAGGAAATAGGTGTAAATAAGGAAACAAGTACGCCCTAATTATTGACGAGGGAGTATGCGCGCATATTCAAAGAAGCTCATCAATATTCCTATCTAAAAAATAATTGAATTTTATTTATATCAATAAAAATCATTGAACTTCAAGGTTTTATCTTCAAAAATTACTCAACTATATTTATCATTAAGAAATGTATTAAACTTATATATATTGATGGTGTAATAAGCTTTTACCTTATCAAATGTATGTTGACCTATTGTAGGAGGTTAGTCGCCTTATTTTCCAGATACTAGTCACACGTATCTTGGACCATTACAGGTCTGATAGCGTAAAGAAGATAAATTGTCAATTTATAAAAGTTAAAACTAGAAATAAATTATCAGGTAGATATCAATTTTCGATCATTTGGGATGGATGCACTTGACGATATGAATCATTTGAAAAATAAAGGCTTAAGTCATCTGTGACTCCTTAAAGTTGTCCGCATAATTCGTTTAAACACCTCAACTAAGGTTTGTACCTGTTGAACACCTATGCCCCTTAAAATTGATACGTATTTGACTTTTTTTTTACAGTCAACCAAAAATATGATATGTGTGTATTACACTCGCTGTGACATGACAAATTGATGAATTAAATGATGACATGTGGCATTTGGTTCCAAAAAATTATTTTAAAAATGAATTCTAAAAAATAACTATTTTAATCTATTTAACTAACTAAAAAAAAATAGAATTTTCTAAAAAACCCACCCATCCACCCCACGGCAACCCCTCATTTTTTTCTCTCCAGTTGATCCAAATCGTCCCCAACTCTCCAACAAGACAGTCCCTTCCTCAATCGATTTTTCAATTGTAATCCTCTTCTCTCCATCTAGTTTTGGTACGAGGAAGATGAAAAAGGTTTCGTCGGAAAATTTTGAATTCCTATTACCATGACAGGAAAAAATGGAGTTACCTGACATATTTTTCTGAATTCCATAACTGGTGTTTTTTGGAGTTGTAGAACTCTTCGTTTCTTTTTAATTATCAATTTTAAATCTATGGAATTTCATGTTACCATTTTTAATAAGCTTAATTAGTTTACATTTTAATTTGAAGTGGTGATGTATGTTTGAGTGACCAGAAATAGATATGAACGGAAGCTGGCTAACTTTTTTAACTTCAATGTCTGAAAATCTTCTTTCTTCTTGCAAAATCACATCAATTCGTAGATTCAGAATTCTTCTTTCTTTTTTCAAGATCACATCAATTCGTAGATTCAGAATTCTTCTTTCTTT